CCATTGACAGTACTGGCCCCGAGAGTTAAATCAGATTAGTGAACTCGCATAGCACCAGGATTGTGAGTGGAATCTACTAACTACCCTTTCTGCCCTGTCCCAACTTATTATTCCGAAGGCCCACCACGACACTATAAAAGCGTGGAAGACATCATATAACATGTGACATACACAGGGGCCACACCATGTCATACATAAAAGGACAAATACACTAACACACAGATATACAATAATACACAAGCTAACATACAGTAACACACATACAATAATACACGCTAACATACAGTAAGACAGACAACACTCATACCAACATACAGTAACACTGACATACAATAATACACGCTAACATACAGTAACACACGGACATACAATAATATATGCAGCGGCTTAAAGAAGTCCTCAAATTCACAATGGCATGTACTAGAGGGGATATATAGTGTAGTATATATCAAAACTTCACCTGCACTTGCAGTGCAGGAAGCTGCCTTTTAGCTCCAATTGTAGCACTTGGGCGGTAAAATCCCCGCCTGTGGATATGGGTCCTTTTTTCTTTCTTGGTCCAACACAGTACAGCATAGTGTAGATATACAACACAAACAGGGCACCAGGATAGTGTGGTATGTCAGGAGATCAAATTGAATAAAAAAGTACGTATAATAAGAATGAGCACTCACATTTGTTGGAGTCTACACCTTAGGTGAAACGTGTTTGTGTATTATTCTTTTTTATATTAGCGCTATAATGAAGGTAATATTACTTCATATTTTCTGGACCTTCCCAATTCCTTCGCTGGTGGAGCAACATCTTCCTTGGTGGGTAATATACCACCTAAGCGAATTTAGATTGAACAAAGCATTGGTTGCTCTCCCAAATGTGAGTACTTTTCTGATTGTTTAAATATATACAGTTTTCACTATATGTTGTTATGGTTTTATATCCATGGTGAGGATTTTATTTTATCTACCCATATCAGAGAGATTTTTGCACATATATCCTATAGTGGGGATTATTCCACCCTAGGCATTAGAAAGAGAGCAATCTGAAGGCTCCAACTAATGTGAGTGTGCATTTTTATTATACTTCTTAAATTGATCTCCTGACATACTGCACTATCCTGGTGCTTATTCCTACGCTATACTACGTTAGACCAAGGGAAAAAAACAAAACAGATCCATATCCACAGGCAGGAATTATACTGCCCAAGAACTACAATCGGAGCTAAAAGCCAGTACTTCACACTGTAAATAAAATTTATTTTTTTCTTCTGATGTTTTGAGATTTTACATAGAGATGTGACGAAGTGCCCTTTGTCACTTGTGCCTGGAGAGGACTAATTGCCAGCCTCTTGCCCTGCGACTATGGCCCCTGGAAGATTTTGCCCTTTAAATACGTTATTTGGGCATAGTGGATTTTATTAGACTGGTTCTGGCCCTTTAAATGCTCTGACAAAGGATCTGCAGTTTTGCTATGCACTTCGGATGCAGAGTGTGAAGAAAACCCCTGTTTTATGGACTTAGTTTGACTGTTTTATTCCCCTCCCTCCTAGAACACCAGTTTAAACCCTTAATAACTGTCATATTTTCAAACGCTGTCTGTCTTTAACTGTCAGTTTGTTCTCCTCTGAGGAGGAGTTGTTTTTGCTGCGTGAGTGCTGTTGCTTTGTGTGCTCATTAAAACAGACCTGCTTGACCCTTTCTGGAAGCCTTGGCTCATGCTTGGGGGATGGGATAAGTCTGCAGTGCTGATGGTGTCGGTTGGAGTGCTTGGAGTCCTCGGCAAGCACTAGGAGCATCGATTGGTGGAGGTACTCGGTCGGAGTGCCAGCGGGTCCATCACAAGAGATATAGAGATAGAGATATGGATATACACACACATACCCTTTCCCTCCTCTACCACCTACCATCGTGAATTTAAGGATTTTGTCCAAGGCTCTGCTCCCCCGTTTATCTCCTTTACTGCATTCTAATGACTGAAAGACTCCAGTTTGGGTGCTCAAGCTGCTTTACATCTGGATATTAAGATGCCTATTCTCTTAATTTTATACAATAATATATGCACTAACATATAGCAACACACCTCATATTGACATGCTGTAATACACAGGGCGCACGCGGGCACGCCGTAATACACAGGGCACGCCCTGAGATGCCATAGCATGCAGGCCCTACATTAAAACAGGAGGAATACACTGACATGCACAAACTCACAACAGTAACAGAATACTGGCTAGATATGTATAGATGGAGCTTGCTGGCTCTGGGCCAGTCTGGGACTCAATCCTCTCCTATTCTGTGCTCATTAAATGTGTCCCTCCTTTTCTGCTTAATAATCTGCATATTAAAATGAGTTCCCTTAAGAAGGATTTAATAATGGGCACTACATTAGAAGGTTTAACCCAATTGCTGTATAGATTGTGCTCGATGACGCTGCAGATTAGGACGGACAGCTGCTGCTGGAATAGCGCAGTTTCTTATTTTACGCTTTTCCTGCTCATTAGCATGTGGGCTATATCTCACTAAGCCCTCTCTGAATATTACAGGGTTTACGTGAAGTGGTCCAAATCTGAGGCATAAGGATTACAGACATTCAATTAAACAAAACAAGGAAACATGTTAAATGTCCACGCGTCCGCTGAGGGCCCAAGATGCAAAGAGGGAGAGAACGAGTTCTACAAACCAAAGAAAATATACACAGGCTGCGTTTAGGGAGAGATCGTGTAAAAATCAGGAAAGACGCAGTTAAAAGAACAAAATACGGTTATATGTACAGTGAGATTTGGGAGGGCGTAAAGTCCACTAACACTTGCAAAATAGTTCTTGAATGCATCCTGCAACTTCTTCAAATATTGCAGTTAATATAGTAGCTCTGACATTTGTCATGCATGCGCATTAGCACCTGCACGTTGTGCTACGTCGCAATAGTACGCATAGGAAGCCATAATTCCAGGAATAGCTTTGTATGCCAGGTACTGATCGTATCCCTTTAAGGAGGCATAGTAAAACTTCAGAGGTAGAGTCTGGACAGTGACTCATTATCTTCAAATTATTTAGAGATTCTTCCAATCTTTAAACTTCCCCAGCCACTGCTGGAGTGATGTATAACAATTGTCAATTTTCTGATGTATAAAACTGTTACAAACACCCTTTACACACACACACACACACACGACATTTTTCTGCCTTTTCTAAAGTGTCAAATTAATCCGTCTTGGTGGTTTTACTTTTTCCATGAAGGCGTGGTTTGAGGAGTTTGGGGTGTCCTGAACAGAGCTCTGTCCTCTACCTCGCTGAACACCTCTGAGAGGAACTGAAATACAGAATGGGAGAAATACCTTCTCGGACAACATAAATGCCTTTTTGGCTAAATAGACACAAATACCCATACCGTCTAATATCTTGTGTAGAGCCTTCCCAGTTATACATCCCGATGGGGTTAGTATCTGTAGGTGTAGGATTTCACAGTGAAACACTGCACATACAGACTCCAGGTACCAGTGGCAGAACTGCAGGGCTGGTGAGGTTCCGAGTGAGACTGGCCAGTGTTCTGCTTGGAGCGCAAGAGCTGGCTGGCCACCTTAGGTCAGTGTGTCTGTCAGTGAGTGTATCAGAGGGTGTGCCAGTCAGTGAGCTGCTGGGTCAGTGTGTCTGTCAGTGAGTGTATCAGAGGGTGTGCCAGTCAGTAAGCTGCTGGG